TTAAATTGTGTCTATGGTTGAAGCACCAATTCTCTGAGTCGGCATTGAATCTTCAGATTCGGCCGAATCGAATCAAGGACAGTGATTTGAATCAACAAATTGAAATACTGTCCCTGATTCATGCCAAATCTGAATAGAATAGGGCCCACTTTGCACAACTCTAAGATATAACTGGCTCTGTGGATGTGGGGAAAATGGCGAACATAATATACCTTGGCTTAACAATCTTTGAATTCTCCTCTGCCCGACTAATGGTGTTTGGACCTGAAAGCTTGCAAAGACATGTTTTTGCTACTATTTAGTTGGTCTAATTGAAGATATCGCCTGCAGCCCAGGAGTTTTGTCTGCCTTGACTTTAGAAAGGCTTTTGGTACCATCTCCCGCATACTTCCTCAGCTTGTAGGAATGCTAAGTTGGATGAACGGACTGTAAGGTGGATAGAAAGCTGGCTGGATTGTTGGGCTCAACAGGTAGTAATCAATGGGTCAACAACTAGCTGGCAGATGGTATCAAGTGGAATGCTCCAGGGGTCAGTCCTGGGGCCGGTTTTGTTCAGTATCTTCATTAACAAATCTGGAAAATGGGATGGACTGCACCCTCAGCAAGTCTGCAGATGACACCAGCCTGAGGGATGTAGCAGGTACACTGGAGGGTAGGGCAGGATTCAGTGACCTAGACAAATTGGAGGACTGGACCAAAATGAATCTCCTGAGGTTCAGCAAGAATACGTGCAAAGTCCTGCACTTAGGATAGAAGAATCCCATGTACTGCTAGAGCCTGGGGACTGACTGGTTAAGCAGCAGCTCTGCAGGAAAGGACCTTGGGGTTACACTGGACAGTAAGATGGATATTAGCCTGCAGTGTGCCCTTATTGCTAAGAAGGCTAATAGCATACTGGGCTGCATTAGTAGGAGTGTTGCCAGCAGATCGTGGGAAGTAATTATTTGCTCTATTCTGCACTGCAGAGGCCACATCTGGAGTAATGGGTCCAGTCTTGGGTTCCCCACTATAGAAAGGGTGTGGACAAGTTGGAAAGAGTCCAGTGGAGAGCACTGAAAGTGGTTCAGGGGCTGGGGCACATGACTTCTGAGGAGAGGCCGAAGGAACTGGGTTTCTTTAGTTTGGAGACGAGAAGACTGAGAAGTGATCTGATAGCAGCCTTTAAATTACCTGAAGGGTGGTTCTAACTAGGATGGAGTTAGACTCTTCTCAGTGATGACAGATGACACAACAAGGAGCAACAGTCTCAAGTTGCAGTAAGGGAGGTTTATGTTGGATATTAGGAAAAATTCTCTCATTAGGAGGGTGATAGAGCACTGGAACAAGTTACCTAGAGATGTGGTGGAATCTCCATCCTTGGAGGTTTTTAGGGCCCAGCTTTACAAGCCCTGGCTGGAATGATCTACTTAGGGATGGTCCTGCTTTGAGCAGGAGGTTGGAAAGGACCTCAGGAAGTCATCTAGTCCAACCCTAATTTTCTATGATTCAAAGTTTACTAACTAGAACTTTCAGTTCAGAACCACACTCATTACTTCCGTGGTATGCTCTGATGTCTCAAGACTCAATTCATTTCAAAGCACTAAAAAATATCCACAGGAAATCATTGTGAACATCATGTGAAATGCAAGTGGTATTCACAATTTATAGCTTTGCTTTTGTTTTATAAGAACACTGAATACTTTGGGGGCAGGCATTATAGGGAAATTTAGAAGCGTTTTACATTGGTGCATGCCATAGTACCTAGACAGTACAAGTACAATGGGAAGAGCAAGCCTTTAGTAGCCTTGCTTTTTTATCCTGATTTTACATTTAACCTTGCAGCTCTTAATGCTAGAAGAAGTGTTATTTTTAAGACCCAGTTATCAATGAGCTATTACACTACCTTAAAATTAGAGTGAACTCTGTTGTTATAGAAGATTCCCAGTGGTGTTAGCTCTGCTTTGGTTTCAAGATATAATCCATGAGAATCTCCTGTAGAATTCTTGTGGAACAAATACCATATTCCAGCATCCTGTAAATAAAGGGGAAAAATAATGTCACTTAAAACATGTCTTAGACCAACACATTTACATCATCACAGATATATTTACATACAGTAACAAAATAATTGCATTTTAATACATTCATCAGTTTCAATCAACAAAATAAGAACTTAATATCTTTGCATTTTTTCAGAATAAGTTTCAAAACAAGTGTCAGCTAAGGTATGGGGGGAAAAAAGTTGCCTGCAGTAGAACTAAAAATTGGGGTGGGGAGGCCTTCTTATTGACTACAAAACTAATTGCACTGTTACTCTGACAAAAATGTGCAAGGGGTTAGGATTTCTTAGGGTGATACCTTTTGTTGGACCAGCTGAATAGTTGGGATAGAGTTAGACAAGCTTTTGAATACAAGGCATGTGTGGCATGTATGGAAAGAATTCTGAAAAAAATAAGGTATTTTAACCACAAAGGTTTACTAAGCTTGAACAAGCTCAAATCTGAAGTAAGCTGCTAAAGAAAGTGACATTTTGCATTTCCATTACGTTGCGTTTCTAAGTGCTGAGTTTTCCTTACCGTAAAATATTTAAAAAAAAAATCTCTCTCCCACTCTCACACATTCTTGTTGTTACAGACCAACTTTAAAGATTGCATATCACAACAGAAAATCAAGAGTTAATGATAAGGCCATGAGAGCCACAAGGGCTTTCAAAAGAATGAAGTCTAGCCAGTTCAGAGCACTATGCCAATACTATGCACCAATTCATTTCAACTCATCTTAAGTAGCTCCCCAATTTCCCCCCAAGCAACTGCTTTTAAAAAGGTGAATTTTGAGCGCTAGTAGAGGTCTACAAAAGCCCCTTCCTGTGGCATCTCTATATAAGATAGAACCATGGAGAGGACAGCTGAATAGGAGGTTTGGAAGCTTCAGTGCAGCAGAGCAGCTAACTTTATATCACATCTAATACACCAGTATTGTACAACAATGAAATCTGTGCTCTTACAAAGAAAAACCTTCAAATATGGAATGCTAAAGGGCAGGGGATGTCTAAGGTTTAAATCAAGGCCATAGAGCTTTTGCACAGTACTCTACAGTTAGCCAGAGAAAAGGAGAAGAATGGCTTTCATGAATTCAAAAAAATCTCCCGTACATAAAGTTAGTGATATTCAAGAATTTCACCCTGAAGGAACAAATCCACTTCCTAACAGCCTGAGAAATGCCATGAATTCTAAAAGGTATCATCTTTCTTACCAAGGGGATCTATTGGAAGTATTTCAGCCTGGTCAATTCCACCAGCAGATGTGGAAGTTCAACTAAGAATTATTTATACCAAAATGTTTATGTTGAATGTTCCTGCTGAGCAAAAGTAATTTTAAAACAAAAACATTTGGTGCTCAAAAACCATGCTAAGCAAAGGAAATTCTATGGCACGCGTACACATAAAGAAAGCATAAGTGAGGGAAAAGGGTATTTTCAAAAGCCACAAATGGGCCAAAAGCATAACCATAGCAAAAGAAAAACATGTTAGGTTTGTTGTGCACTAGGAAAATCTTACTGGTATAGCTATATCAGTAAAGGGTTTTTACTGCTCTAGTTAAACTAGAAAAAGCCACAAAGTGGGGCATAGTTACACCAATATAGCTAATTTTGCTTACTGAACCTGAAATAAGGGGTCACCATAATAGCAATTTTATCACATCCAAATTAGGGGAATCATTTTCCATTTTAATTATACAGATTTAGTTAGGAGTAGCCAAACTCTCGATAGCATACAAGCCCTGACTCCATCCACACACACATTTGCAATAATTCAAGGAAGTGACATTCAGTAGAATTTACTGCAAATGCAAACCATGCAAATGGTGGGCACCAGACTTCTGCAGCTGTTTCCTGTAACTCAAGCTTCCGCACTGAAAACAGGTAGAGGAACTATGCAAAAGGTCAATACATGGGAAGGTGCAGAGTGGAAAAAAAGAATAAGTGCTTTGGATTTGCTAAGTTCGTGCAGATCCTTCCAAAGCCCCAATCTTTTTGCATAAAGTTCTACCTCCCTCCCCCCAAAAAGCACACAGAATAGAAAACAAAAACCAAAAAAGGTTTCTTTTGTTACAGATTGCCTGATATTTAAAATTACTTGTGAATTAAACCATGCTTTCTTTGTGCTATAAAATGTGGGTAGGCATTCACTTTGATTACTGAAGCTTTTCCCTTTCCCAACTTTTACTCTATTCTCTCCACAGCAAGCTATTTAAAAATGCAACCTCATGGCATGTTTCAGCTTCTTATCCAATGCCCACACCAGAAACGGAAAAGTAGAACTGAACCCTGCTATCTGACACATACCAAGCTTGCTCATGAATAGTTTCAAATAATTTAAAAGGAAGCTGCTTTTTGCTAAGTAAGACAAGTCTAAGCTGAATCTGCTTATTCCCTATTTTCTGTACTCGATAACAAAGGGGACTCTACGTTCCAGGATGTGTCAAGGCATTTTGCTTCTCAAATGCTGAGAAAAAACTAACCACAGAGCTAAGCCAGTAAAACATCTTAGCCATACAATGCTAAGTACAATATGACTTTTTTTTTTTTATTTGACTGAATTAAATGACCAAATTAAATTTAGAACACTAGCCACACAGTATGTTAACAAATACAAGCTACAGAAAACAGTGAAGCCTTAATGCTATGATGGATGTACTTACAGGATGCCTTGTTCGTAACTGACTTACTATACAGCGTCACCAACACAAAGACTAATAACTCATAAAAAATGAAGAATTCTCTTTTGTTTTCTTTAAAACAAAGATGTTCAGTAACTTTTAAAAGCACATTTAATAAAGAGATGTCGCATTTACGCCACAGTGTTGCTAAATACAAAAAGGAAAGAGACATCTACATTAAAAAGAAAAAAAAGAAAAAAAAATACTTAAATGCATACATTTTTTCTAGGGTATGCTTTGCTTATCTGAATAGGAACACTGTGCGTCAAACTATGTTCACCTGCCTCACCTGTGAGCCAGCTGCTGCATTATTTATAAGGTGATTGTTGGGATGAGCAATCCAGAAGGTTGAAACGGCCCTGGATATTATACAGAAATAAAACATAGTTCAGAAGCTATAAATATCAAGTCTCTAATCTCTAAGCTCTTAGGTTTCATATAAGAAACGTTAGTAAGTACACACAGAAAAGCAAGTCAGGCTAATTTTTCTTTCCAGGGAAACAAAACTTTCTTCATGGTTTCTTATTTGGAAAAAAAAAAAAAAATCTGATGTTTTCTTTGTAAGTTAAAACATTTAATATAGTGAAAATGTTTTTGTAATAACTGAAATGCTCTTTTTGATTCTCGCCAAAGAAATGTGATACATGCTATTTATTAGGGCAGAAGTGACAGTTTCATATAGCTTGGGTGCCCTTGAACAATAATAAAAGGAAAGCCTGAGGTCTGCTGAATCAATTAATACCAAAGTATTATGTTATTTCTTACACATGGTCCCATCCTCATTAGCCTATTCTTAACTGCAGATCACCAAGAAATTTTTTAAAAGTTTAAGCACTGCAGGAATCCCCCACCTCCCACCTCCCAACTACTCACATGCAGTCTGTGGCTGGCACTGGGACATAATTTCCATATACTTTGTCCCTAATGGCAGTACACATACTGCTATTCCTGTCCGTGGGAAGAAGAGTGCCTGGTTTGGTTACTAGTCCAAGGTTGTGGAACAGAATATTTCTCTGTTCAATACCATCCTCCAGAAAGAAACAGTGGCCTAGTGTATCATAGCCAATGGTGTCCTTTATCTGCAGAAATACAAGTTCATTATGTCATTAGCAATAGTATTTACTGAGATTTATTTGACAAGAGCCATTTAGTTTTATCATCTTGGCGCAGCTGCAGAATGAATTTTCAGCATCCACAGTAAAAGCTAAGTCAAAAGTCAGGTTTTATTTGTTCCCAGAAATGCCCTATGATTATTAAAAAGGTTGCCTAACTGCAACAATTGAAAAGCTCAACAGAACAATAGGGCTTGTCACTGCTTACACTTGTGCATTAACTGTAAATATTTAAAACTCTGAAAAAAATGGAATAAGTGTTTCTGCACTGACTCTTTGTTCTAATGATTCCTCCTCCCCCTGAAACAGAGATTGTTACTAAAGTACCTACCAATAAGCCATTAGTTGCATGAACAGTCACACATCTGGAAAAGCAGTGATGAATGGAGAGGCCTTCTAAATAAGTCTTGAAGGTATAACCTCCTTTTTCATCTACATCCCCACAGAGGTGGAAGTGGACAGGATACCTTCCAATCATTTGCTGGCCCATTTGTTTCACTTCCACATAAGAGAGATGAAGAGATGTGAAATTCTTTACAATCTAAAGAATATAAAGCAAGAAAATCCATTTAATCCAAATCGTGAATGAATTGCATGATTTTTTTTGACTGCCACAAGCTTTACTGAACTCGGGGGGGGGGGGGGGGGGGGCGCAGGTTAAGGGAAGGGAGGATTTCTGCTCAATATCCAGGTAATAATACTGGATGGAATTAGATCTCCAAGACAGTGGTTACCTCCATAAATAAAATACAGACCTCTATGCTATGCAAGACCTCTATGCTGCCAAAGCAAAGGAAGTGTCATCAAGTGTTTTATTGCTACGTCCTATCAGTAGGCTTTTAACAAGTCCTAAATGGTATTCTCATGAGTTACAACATTCTTTATATACATCCATGGAGCATTCAAGTATATAAGATATTTCCTCCTCCATAGACCTGTCTACATACAGTAGTTTTATTGATTTATCTAAACTAGTTTAGCAACACACGGACTTGAATCCCTGCAGCTCCTGTTTATTTATGAGTTTGAGTGTCAGCTGAATTTTCTATTACTAAACTTTCCAAACAATTCTTTGCGCCACAGAATTTTTTTTTAAGGTTCAATAATCAGTTCCCCTCAGCACCACAAATACAAAGCACAAAGGAATGAGAATCATTTTTTGTATCAAAATGGCTTTCACTGAGTGCACTCAAACATGTCCACCATTCAGGCTCTCCAAAGAGGTCTCCAAAGAGGTCACTATGCAATTCCGGAAAAAAAACAAAAACAAAAAAAAACAACTCTTGTAACCTTCAGTATGAGAATGGGTTCTCCGACTTCATGGAGATATATCCACATAATGCTGAGAGTAATTTGTACACTATGGTAAGGAACAGAAATTACACATAAACTGGTACAAGTGATCAGAAACTGGTTCAAACCTGTGATACAATAGGAGTTCAGTGCACATAAACCGCTTTCAAAATGGCTGAAACTGGCTTAAAATAAACCTGGATGGATGTAGTATCAGACTTAGCTAGGTTAAATTGGATTACTGAACTTGTCCTATATCCCCCCAGATTTAGATTAACTCACAGTTCCCCAGCATCCCAAGATGCTTTGCACCTCCTTGCAAACCCCACCCCCTCACAGGGTGAGTGGGCTAGCCTTAGCCCAAGCTATGTGCTCCAGCCAAGCAGAGAGGTGTGCTCTAGCACCCCTGGCTTTTGGCCTGGGCCACTGCAGGCACGTGGCCGCATTTCCAGAATCAGAAGTGAACATCTGTTCACTTGCTTAATCAGTTCAATTAGCGCAACTTATACTAACCTGCGAAGACTGAAACACTTCAGCCTTTTTGACTGTCTGTACTTAGTCATTAAAGCTGCCTAACTAGCTAATTTGCAGCTCACCATTATGCAGTGTTGCTAAGTTTATGGGGTTGAACACAACCACTAGGCAACTGCAAGTATTTCCTTTCATCTGGTTAACATATCAAACTAACTGTAAGAGATGACTTACAACTGTGGGAGGTTAAGGATGCAAATCATAAGACAAATGAACTTCTCATTATGATATTAACTTACCTACTTTTGAGTGTATACAGATTAGGCTACTACATATAAATAGCTTAACACAAACAGTTTCATTTGGGCAAGTTAATCTGCACTGATTGACCACTTTGATTTTTTTTAAAGGTACTCAATTTATATTTATACATTTACAGCCAGTGTAATGCTGAGAGTTGGTAAAAAGTAGTCTTTTAATTTACAGAAGTTGAAGATCTGTACTAATGCAGCACTAAAACTACAAATTAGGGGACTTACCCCCATATATAATAAAACCCTTTATACTGCTCTCTCTCGGTAGAGGAATGTTATCAGACAAGTTCCTACAGCGCCTAGATATTAACAAGTTTTAGTGATGACTACCTGAACATAGATTAGCAGAAGCTGAAAACTGTTTGTTAGGCTTAACAAAACATATGCTAGGTTAGGTTTAGCAATAATTGCTCAGTTATTCAGAAGACTCATAGGGACAATTCAAGTAACCATGATATCTTGGAACAGAAAACAAATGGTCTATCTTTCATACATCTGACTGACTGACTGACTATCTGAGATACTGAACCAGTTCAAGGACAGGTTCTGTAAAGCTCACAGCTTGTCAATAATGTTCCTCCACAGTATTATCACAAACATAAAAGAATAGTTAAAACCCTCTATAGATCCCTCCTGCAGACCAAAAGCTATAGCACAAGAGAGAAATAGATCATTCTTTCCCTCTTAGTTCCACCACTGTAGAACTAAAAATCAATCCCTAATACTTTAAAAAGGGAGGTCAAAACTGTGACCAAAAGAAACAATGACATTTGCATGTAAAGGATAATGCTTCAAAAACTTCAGTATCAACTGGGCCCCAAATAATATCTCACCACTCCTTGCACTTGCACTCCAGTACAAACAGTAAGTTTCAGCTATGCACTGATACTGCTCCCTGCCTATTAAGCCTTCTTATAATTTATAGCAAATAAATAATTAGCAAAAACCATGCAAACTATTAAAAATATTTTTAAAAAAAAATCAACAGCAGTCCCTTCAGAACTGTAGTATACAGAGAACTCTTTAATACCCATTTTTAATTTTCTGTAAATTAATAAAAACACCACTGATTTTAGGCTCCATAACATACGACACCTAAGAGGGACCCAATTCTCAAAATATCTGCATAATGCATGGCTGTCCAAATAGCAGGCTGCAGGGTGTTGCAGGGGAGGAATAACATGCAGCCCCCAATCTCCTATCCAGCTGCCACTGCCCCTCCTGCAGCAACAGCCAGGGTCTAGGGACTGCTGCAGCCCGCAATACCAAGGGAGCCAGCAGCCAGGAACACCTATGCAGCGCAGTGCCATAGAGGAGCCTGCAGGTAACAGAAGGTGAAGTGACATGAAGTGCTATGTGGGGGAGCACTTGCCCACCCATGCACAGTGCAGCGGGGTGGAGAAAGCCCATGGTGCAGCATGGTGGAGGGTGCCCACCTGCGTACGATGCAGTGGGAAAATGAGGGGAGCACTTGCATGTGTGTATGGACAGTATGTAATCTGGGGGGCCCTGTGGCCCCTTTCTGTGCAGCCCCCAATGGTGCGACCCATAGGGTATGTGACCCCCCTCCCCCCCAGCCTTTTTGAAGCTGGGCAGTCCTGCCTTAAGGTGAACTGTGCTATATGAGCCACAAATGTGATGTTGCAGCTGGTAAAGCAGACAAAACTGGCTTGCATCCATAGATTTCTCAAGTAAATCCCAGGATGTCATCTTCCTGCTGTACTCGGCCTTGGTGAGGCCACAGCTAGAGTACTGCATCCAATTCTGGGCTCCACAATTCAAGGATGTG